TAGTTGACCATTGCTCCTCCAGTCCTTGAGCATGGAATGTTTTTCTCTTTCTTTGTGTCTTCCTCAATTTTTTCGTAAGAAATTCATAAGAAGTTCTATAGCTTTCAGAGTACAAATCCTATATCTCTTTGGTTAGGTTTGTTCCTAGGTATCTTATGATTTTTGGTGCACCTGTAAATGGGGGGCGGGTAATTGGGTGATGGGCATCAAGGAGGGCACTTGAAATAATGAGCACTGCGTGTTGCATGCAAGTGATGAATTACTAAATTCTACCTTTGAAACTAATAACACAGTGTATGTTAAAGAATTTGAATTTAAATAAATTTTTTTAAACCCAATTTATTGCCCTGTCCCAATAACCTCCAAAAGCACCTAATTGCTTTATATTTACATAACTAAGATACCAAGCGATTTTTCCAAAAGCAAAAGATCTTCAAAGTGATTTTCCATTCCTGCCTTATTATAAAGAGAAGTATTACCATTTATTTCACTAAAATAATGTGGCCAACCATGCCTCCTATTTTTTTAAAAAAGGAAGAAAACAGTGATGATGTACTTATAAACCATATGACAAATTACAAAACTTGCCCAAAGTAGAACTAGGTCTTGACCTCCAGATCCATGTGTTTAGCCGCTATGCTCACTTACCGCCTCTTCTTATTCAGCGTGTAATTATTTATCCTATACTCAAAGATGACATTGATTAGGTTTATTTTTTTAAGATTTATTTATGATTAGGTTTATTGCAGGAACAGAAATCCCTAAGTATAGGCAGTCTTCCGAACTATCGATAAAAGAGAGCTGGGCAACAAGTGTATTTCTGAACTAGTGCATTTATATGGAAAAGAAGTATTCAGTATCCACTTTAAGAGAAAGTTGTGTTTTCCCTGCAAAGTTAGGTCACAGAAGGGAGAACAAGACTCGCACGTAGTTCTGGAGGGACTGAAACTGAGCAGCAAATGAGCCTGTGGGTCAATACACATCGTTGACAAATAGCGTTCTTTAGAATTCATGATTTGGGAAAGCTACGTACGGGGCTGGGTTACTGTGAGTGTATTTTGCTTTGTCCCCTCGGTGCAAGTAAAGGACAGTCAACTGACCTTTTCAGTTTATCAGTTTAATGAAAGTTACCTCTCAGCCTTCTCATCTCTGAGTTTGATAATAATGAAAAAAAAAAAAGTCCGACCAGATTGTTTTGACCTTTTCTCCGACATACTGTTTTCCCATTACCGTTATTACTTTCCTCAGTAAAATGAAAGTGAAATCCATGTAGATCCTGGTTCACAAACAAGACAAAATCCTGACATATTATCAGTTTTTTTTTTGTTTTTGTTTTTTTTTAAGAGGGGCACCAGATGCTGTAAAATGTGTGCTGCACTTTCTGGAGCTCTTAATAGAAATTCCAGGAGGTCGACAGAGCTCTGAGAAGTTTCTGTACGTCCACAGGGGACCTAATTGCCTGTTTTCTGACAAAACTTCAATGACACCTGACTCCCGGGCAGCCAAGACCAGAGTCCTCCCACTCACCTCCATTTCTAAGACTTTCTTGCATGTGTTTGTGGGCGCTGGTGCTGCATGGCCCCGGCCAGGGCTGGGAGTCAGGATGACTACCGAGCTGTTCATCTACCCCGGTTCTACCATGAAATGAAATCCCTACATTTGACCTCCTATCACTGTGTTGTTTTGCTATTGGTGATTTTTCTTTATTATTTTTGTTGCCATTTTATGTACTTAGAATTCTTTCTTAGCTTTTAAATCTAGTTTGAATTGGAGATACACAATAAATTACATCACTTAAAGTGACAAATAATAGATATTCTTGTATCAGCTCTATTGAGTTTTCAGATCTACCCAGCTCTTTGACTTTATTCAGAAACTCACCATTTTGATTGGCCTTCACTTTTTAGGAAGTGAGGAACTCATTTCGGTTTACTTGGACTTGGGTTTGCTCTACGTTAGGATGAGGAAGCACTCTGCACTGAAAGAGGCGGTATGCATTTTTCTACAAAGTTAGAGGACACTTGGATTTTCCCTGGGCTGACTACACCCTCTGAATAAACAGATATTCCTGGGTTCCTAAGGAGGAGTATGAGGGCTCCGCGTCTTTCCTGGCTTTCCCACAGGCTCTCCCGGGTAGTGACCTGCACAGACTAAGGAGTTGTATGGGATGATATAGAAAGAAGCTAACCAGCGATTCTGGAAAGCCTACGATGTGCCAGGACTGCGCTTGATAGACATTTGCCTCGTCTCATTTAATTGTCTTAACGATCCCTGAGGCAATGAGCATTTTCCTTGTATAGATGAAGACACTGAGGCCCAGGGAGATTCGGGATCTAGCCGGAATCGCAGAGCCAGGAGCCAACCAGTACTTTCCCAGATTCTCGGCCAACATCTTCCGGGGCCCCACGCTGCCCATCCACAGACTCGGGTGCCTCGGGGGCCCCAAACCCCACCCGAGGATGAGGGATAGTCATTGAATGAAGTCCCGTGCATTTGTCTTGGGCGTCGAGACACGCAGAACGTCAGAGTGGAGAGTTTGGAGATGGGCCAGGCACCTGCCCTGCCGCTGCCTCCGCCTCCGACCTCCCGTCCGGCCCTTCACCCTGCGTGTGCGGCGGGCACTGGTGCTCCCTGCGGACAGGCCCAACTCCCTTCTCAAGGCCCTGCGGGAGGCTCCGTTTGTCTTTCCAGGGCCAGCTATGCACCGACAGCTCTGCTGTTGTTTGGAGGCCTCAGCAATCCTCATTTCAAGCTGATTACTTCTTTATTATCTTAACATAACGTCATTGGCCATCTGGTTGATTGGAAATGTGAGGGAGACGCATCCTGGACGATAATGATTTTCAGGTGGAGCACCACATCTACAGGGAGAGTCAGGGCATTTGCTTTTGAAAACTGATATTTCTTTTTCTAACCTGTGCTAACCGCGCCTTTATCCCTACTGAGAGAATTCGGTCATTTTAATAATTTGGCATTGTTTCGCTGCCAGTGCAGAGATAATGTGAAAAGGAAGTGTATTTTTTTTCCTTTCTGTGGATTAAAAAAAGTTCAGAATTTTCATTTGCAGTTCTTTATCCTTTCTTATTTTTTCTATGTTGCCAGCAACATATCGTTGGATTTAAATCGGCATTAAGTGCTTTTCTTTAGAGCAACGCAAGACTGTGATTTTTAGATATACTGAGTAGACTTCTTTCTGCAACAGTTCGAATTCGTGCTTTGAATGTGAGCAGCTTGTTGGACTCTGGTACAGGCAGTGGGGACTCGAGGATTCTTCATCGGCAGCACCTAAGTGGCAACGAAAGAACTCCCCGTATAAGAGGTTAGACGCCCCTTCTGTCTGGGGGTAAAAGTGAGTGCTCCATGCCTGGATATCCATTACGGAGTTTCATAGTTTGTTAAATGTCTAGCACGTGCCAAGCTCAGGATTGTCTTCCATACATGATCACATCTCATTTAATCCTCACAGTGACCCCTTAAAATAGTCGTGGAGCAGGCATGTGATCCTCTCTCCACTTCTCAGCCACAGAGGCTGAATTTCAAGCAGATCCGGTGGCTACACGGCCAGTGCCCCATGATCGCAGGCTCACCAGCTCCGCCTTCCCTCCTCAACTCTCACAGCTGGCCTGAGCGAGCTGGCTGGGGGGCCTGGAGTCGAGGCTGGGAAAGTGGTGGCGGCCTTTGGATTGTACTCCAACACGCTTTGGATTCATTTCTTCACTCGGCACCTGTTTATCGGGCACCTAATCTGTGCCTCAGGCCTGGGGATGGGGGCGTCCCGGTGACCCCGAGCACGTAAACCGCTGCCTTCTGGAAGCTTACACTCCGGCTGCTGGAGGTTTTGAGCAGGGGGTCATCTGGCTCCGGGGTGACTGGCGGCCCCAGAGAGAGCAGTCAGGGGTGACGGCAGCCCGGGGAAGACGGCGGGCTCCAGACACAGGGCTCGCAGGGCTCGCAGGGTGGAGGCCGGATTCCAGAGGGGCCTCAGAGAACGCGTCAGTGGGCTTTTCTGAGCAATTGGATGTAGAAATCGCTCACCCAGGCTTTAAAGGGAACCCAGGTCAGCCCACACCCTGGACCCACGCTCCTTTAATCATGTTCAAGTGCTCGCGTATGAAGCGGCTTCCCAGCAGGCTTGGTTCGGTGGGCATGTCGCTCCCGTTCAGCTCCGCGGCTCGGGGCTCAGGAGAGCGGAGCCTTGGTGCCGAGCTCCGACCCCAGCAGCATTTGGCGTCCACACTGCACGTGAGCAGCCCGTTCCCTCGACGGCCGGGAGCCCGGCGGCAGCCCTCGGGTGGTTACGCTGGAGACCCGCAGCACGACCGTCTCACAGGCGCTCCCAGTCCTTCCCCGTGGCTCCCTGGGGTGACGGCCCAGGAGAGATCCTCTTAAAAAGATCCAAGCCCAGCTTCTTGTTTCTCTGCCATTGTCATTTCTCCGAAACGACATTACAAGGTCCAAGTCACAACAGGTTTTGATTCTTGGTCACAAAATACGAGACTTTTGGCATATTGTGTTCCCGTTTCCTTTCTGCTTGTTTGTTTTTGTTTTTGAAGTTTGAGAAACAGACTTCTTGTAGTGACCATTTACTGGGCAGACGTGGTGGATGGGAGATGGTCCTAGATGTGCCAGGTCTGCCAAGGGCCTGAACAACTCCGGGATGCACATCGGTGTCTCCCAAGTCGATGCAAGTGTCACCAGGCTGCCATGACTAATGAGGTAACTGAAAGGTCGCCGGCATCCCTTGCTCCCACGGGCCTTACTGGACAGCCTGGTGTTTCCCAGCGGTGAGGGAACCGCGTGTGTGGCCGGGGCCCCTGCTTGGTGCTCGGCGGCCTAATGCACGCTCCCTGCACAGCGTCCCCCGCCTCCAGCCCAGCCGCGTGGGGCCCGGGACCCTGGGGGGTGCTCTGTGCCTCCGTCCTGCCAGGTGCACCAGTCGGCAGCCTGGGTGAAGGGAATTTCAATCCATGGAAGGGTCACTGCCTCTATTATCGTTCCAGGGCTGCGACCCAAGAGGACCCTGCGTTTGGTGCTCTGGACTGCGGAGGAGCAAGGCGGGGTCGGCGCCTTCCAGTACTATCTGCTGCACCAGGTAGGGGCACGGGGCCAGGTCAGGTCCCCATGTAGGGATGCTGACCTCCCAGGTCACAGGGAACCAAAGTGCGGCCTGCACCCTCCAGGTCGCGGGGTCACAGGGAGGCCTGAGCCGTCGGAGGGTTCGGAGTCGGGGTCTGTGCACCCCCCGCGCCCACGGCTGAGGGAGCTGAGTATGGCCACAGCCCCCGAGGGAGACCTTGCCGTGGGCTTGGCCCTTTAGGGCGCCCGCACCTGGGCCCAGATGTCCTGGGGACGACATCGTCCTGCACCCTCCCTGGGGGTGGACCCTCGCCAGGCATCGCCGCTCTGGATGCACCCTGACCTTAGGGTGCCGGCGGTGCAGACGGGACACCCACCGCCGCCCTCACATGCAGTGTCCCGATTAAGTGGTGACAGCAGCGCCAGGGAGCTCGTCCCGCCCGGCCGGGGAACGCGGCGCCGCCAGGCTGCGGGAACAGGGCCGTCGAGGCACAGACAGGAGGACTGAAGCGAAGGTGGCTAAGGGTCAGGACCCGGCACTGGGCGGTGGGACCATCCGGGCGGAGGCAGCGACAGGGCACAGCAGACCGCGGGTGAGAGCAGAGACGCGGAGCGCAGGTGCACAGAGTGCAGGAGCATGGAGTGCAGGTGCACAGAGCGCAGGTGCATGGAGAGTGGGTGCATGGAGAGTGGGTGCATGGAGAGCAGGTGCACAGAGAGCAGGTGCATGGAGCGCAGGTGCACAGACAGCAGGTGCATGGAGCGGCACAGAGCGCAGGGACAAGGAGTGCAGGTGCATGGAGCGCAGGGACAAGGAGCGCGTGGCGGGGGGCGCAGGGGTTGTGGGGGGGCGGCAGCGACGGAGCCCAAACAGCAGCATATGCTTCAGGTTTACGAGTTCTCACTGTAGGGCCCCCGGGGGGGTGGTATTGGCGGTAGAGCGGCTGCCCTCGGTCAGGGGGTGATCGTGTCCCATGTCGGGGTCCCCGCATGGAGCCTGCTTCTCCCTCCACCTGTGTCTCCGCCTCTCTCTGTGTCTCTCGTGAATAAATAAAGTCTTAAAAAAAAAGTTCACACTTTATCCTGAGGCAAAAAAAGGAGTGACAAAAGTATTTTTAAGGAGGAGCTCTTAGATTCTATACATCTCGGGCTCTAAGGACTAGAGAATACCTGAGAACTGTTTGAAGCATATTTATTCTCAGTCATACACTCCAAGAAAAAAAATGGATTTAACCTCCAGTGGATCCGGCTGGACCTTTTCTCAACCTCTGAAATTCCTTAGATCTGGGGGAAAAAAAAAAAGTTTGCTCCTCTGTAAGTTTTCAAGTTTCGCTGTAGCCTACTAAAATACACGAGTCAGAAAGGACTTGATTCTACGTGTTCAGGAGGCCGGCAGGGAAATACATCCACGCATTTTTCCCGGAGGGTGTGCAACCCCCTCGACAGAACTGGCTTATCTTGACAACGTCCACGTTGCCTCCACACGAGAGTCTGCGTAAGCGTGGCGGGTCGGCTTTGCGTTTTCAGGGATGGAAAGAAAGCCCAGAGTGGAAAACACGGGCCTTTCTATTTCAGGTCGCTCTTCGTCTCACCAGCCCGTGATGGGACTCCGGCCACGAGAGCGCTGCATGGCCAGGCCCTGCGGGGTCCGCTTCCCCACAGAACAGTCTCTGACCCTCCAGCCCTATTGCCGTCCTTGAAACAAGTGCAACACCTTGTCTGGACGCTTCTAAGAATGTGACATACTTCCTAATCTAGAGGAGAGAAGGAAGGAGAGACGGAGCGAAGAAAGGGAGCATGAGGGGGGAACGGAGGAAACAGAAGAAAGAAAATAAAAGAAGTCGAGTCTTTGGCCAGAAGCATCTTCCCTTCTGCCCGAATGTTGCCGCTAAGCTCACACGGAAGAAATCCAGTTGATCAAACAGGAGACGCCGGCTCCTGGCTACCTGCCGCGACCATCTCACCGGGATAGAGGCCTGTGTTGCCGACGGGTGCCGAGCGCCGTAAGGCTTAGAGCAGGAGGTGCAAAGGATTAAGACCAGGGGGGAACGGGGCCTGGGGGCTCCGTCAGTGAAGCACCTGCCTTTGGGGCAAGTCGTGATCTGCGGGCCCTGGGATCAAGCCCGCGTCAGGCTTCTTGCTCCGCAGGCAGTCGACTTCCCCTTCTGCCCCTGCCCCTGCCCTCCGCTCATTCGCTCCCTCTCTCAAATAAATAAATAAAATATTTTTTTTTGAAAAAAGGGAGAGACGGCTAGCAGATGTTGGTCACGAGGAAGGCTCAGCAGCTGATCCTTGAGGAATACGTACGTGGGTTAGAGAAGTAATCAGGAAGGGACACCGGGAAGGCCACCGTCCTCTGTACTGGCGATGGCCGAGACCTGAGTGCGCCCCTGCATAGGCAGCGTCCAGGAGGAACGGGACTTTGATTTGCGAAGGACCTATTTGGGTGATTGTAAAAGTAACAGTTTCCCCAGCATTTTTATGGTACAGTTACGGTTATTAGTAACCTGTGTCAGTAAGGGACCAATCAGACACGGATGCACCTGCAAAGCCTAAACTATTAAACATCTGATCCTTTACAAAAAAAATGTCTGCGACCCTTAATCTACATGGTAAAAATCATAAAATAATTTTATGTTGTTATTTACACGTTGTTACACATAACAATTTCTTTATGATTTTTTGTGACCTAAATGACAATGTTATTAGTATTTGAGCAAGGAAGATATGACTATAATGCTATAAATGTACGTGTACTATCCTTTGTTCTATGCATTTTTGTTAGGTATTTCTTAATAGTGAAGTTGGCTTTACTTACATACCATCCAGTTATGGATAAAAACAGGACGCAGAGGATAATTATGCCTTCTTCGTGTTACTCTGAATATATTCCTTCTTCCTCTCCACATGATCTTTTCAACAGTGAAAGCTCTATAAAGGCTACTCAACTGGACACATGTAGCTAAACTTTTGTGGGAATAAATTTTAAAATAACTATCCTAAAAAAATAAAATAAAATAAAATAAAATAAAATAAAATAAAATAAAATAAAATAAAATAAAATAAAAAACTATCCCTTGTAAAAAACTAACAAAATTAATATTGACTATCCTCTTCTTAGTAAATACATCTTCGTTTGCAATTCACTTTTGTTCATAGGTTCATAGAAAAATAAAAATTAAAGTGATGTAAACTTTATCAGGATGAAACTTCTTGCCAAACTAATTTTTAGAATTTTATTCAGGTTCATAGTTAAACCTTTACTTCATAATTACGTTTTTTTTAATGAAATATTGTCTAAATCATTATAATAGTTACTAGCCTTACTGGATTGTTGTGAAATGTGTCACGCTGTTTGCAGTTTGTGTATACATTTTGAAACTCACATGCAACTCTATTGTAATAAGTCTGGAACACCCTTTTCAGGAAAACAGACTGGCTCCCGGAGGTCTATAAGCATTTTGGAGGCAGTAACTAGGTAAAATAATTCAACCAGAAAATGAATTTTTTTACTGTATCTTGGATCTAGAATAGAAATAATCCTGTGGGTTCATCCAGCGTGCCCATAACAGTTCAGAGCAGAAAGTCCTATAAAGGACGTATAGGTATTTTTCTTTTTTACTAAAAAAAATTTTTTTTTTTTACTAAAAAAAATTTTTAAAAAAGGCTACCTTCTATATTTTGAAAAGTTGTAGAATGTTCTCTTCCAGATGTAAAGTTCTTCCCACTTTCTTTCCTCATATTGGCACAGGGATTTGAGAATCATTTATGCGTATATTGTTTGTGGTTCACGCAGTTGACCTTAGGCAGCAGCACGTATTTCGCACTCACGGTGTGTTATGGGGTAGAGTTGGCATTTGGTAACGAAGTGCACAGGCCTCAAGCCTACGGCTCAACGTATCTGCCAAATGCTACCCCTGGGTGACCATCACCCAGATCAAGATGCAGAACATTCCTGTTACCCCAGCAAACGTCCCCTTCAGATCAGCCCCTGACTCCTCCAGGGGTCACGAGGAGTGCTGCTGTCCATCCCCATAGATGGGTCATGTCCTCAGATTCTGTACTCAGGAGGTCACATCCAGCACCCCCTGGGGTCTGGGTCCCCACACCCAGCAGCCAGCATAGCAGCCCCCTGTGCTGCTGGGGGTGGGGACGTGCCCCTGCCCACCACGGAGGGCTCTGTGTTGTGTCCTGGATCCCACTTCTCCGCTCATCCTCCTGTCAACGGCCCTTTGGGTTGTTTCTTGTCGTAGGTATTACGAACAAGGCTCCTGTGAGCACTTCTGTGCACCTGTACCTGGTGGTCATAGGCGTGTCTCTTCTCTAGGAGCGGAATTGCTGTGTTCTGGGCGGGCGTCTGTTGGGTTGGGCCACTCCATCCACGCTCCCGCCTGCAGCCCGTGAGAGCCCTCGTTGCTCCCCACCCTCCCCAGTACATTGTACTGTTAGACGTCTAATTCCTGGCCTTTCCTGTGGGAGTGACAGTTTTATGTTTGTCAACATACGGCTCAGAAGAGTCCCAGGGTGAGTCCCAGGGTAAATCCCACTCCTCTTCTCATGCCCCACATTCTCTCTCTCCTGCCTCCTTGCCCGTGACTTAAAGGAGACCCACGGCCTCTTTATCTTGCGTGAGTTTTGTGGGGCTGTTAGTGGTTGGAGTGACCATATTTCCCCCTCAGAAGAGCAGGACATGGAAATGCCACCATGCTCGTAGCAGAAGCTGGCTCCCAGGAGCGCGGACTTCACAGGGGTGCGGGGCTACTGGAACTCAACTGGAGCAAAGTGGGGCCTGAGCCGAGAATGATCCCTAAAAAGTTTAGGGAGGGAGATTTCTCTTATGCCCAAAAAATAGGTTATCCTAGAAAAGGGGGAAGAAAGATGGCATACGAATGCCTTTGTGTTATTCTTTATTGATGAAATTATTTGTTAAAAATACGAACTTCTTTCCTGGTTGTATTCAGCTTGTTTTCACCGAGAAGGAAGTGAATCCTTCCACCTACAGAAGGATGTTATTGT